TATATATATATATATATATATATATAACAAAATAATTATTTTAACAACTTAATAAGATTTTAAAAGTGAATTTTACAAAAAAATCCTCGTCTCACCCCTCGGGTGGTGTCCGTCCCCCATTCACCTCAGGTCCTCTACCAGAGGCCAGGAAGCTTGAAGGTTCTGCACTGCACTTTTCTGGACTGAGATGTCCGATGTTGTTCCCGGGATCTGTTGCAACCATTCATCCAGTTTGGGGGTCACTGCCCCGAGTGCTCCGATCACCACAGGCACGACGGTCACCTTGACCTTCCAGGTTCTCTCCAGCTCCTCTCTGAGCCTTTGGTATTTCTCCAGTTTCTCCTGTTCCTTCTTTCTGATGTTTCCATAGCAACATCTATATCTTTATCTATATCGGTTGCCCAGCCTTAATTTTCGCCATGATCTTCGCTCTCAGGTCAGTTGCTGACTCACTCAGCATTTCAGGTCTTGGAGCTGGCCTTCCAATCTCTGGTATAACCTCCTCCTCTGATCTGGGGCCTTCACCATGGGCATTGTACCTCATCAATCTCAAGTTGTGATAGCAATTGCCATTTGTGGATGTTGGAACACTGAGCTACTAGTTGTTTCGTGGTCAACCGTGACTGTGGGTTTCGAAGTAACCATTCAGCCTGCATTCTCTGCATGTAACCCCTCTGACTAGGGTTGCTTGAGTAGTAGCATTTCAACAGAGCCAAGATATCGCATCTCGCCCATCTCCGCTTTGTTCCAGTAGCCCATTTTTCATCAAGGTCCTCTGGTTCCCCAGCACCTGACGCAGACCTATTTTGGCCGGGTGACGTCTGAGCCGGCATGTCATTCGTTTTATTGTCTCTCATCATTGTGTGAGGTAGGCAAGGACCCACGCTGGATGGTGTTATGTGCTCATATTGCCCCAATCGGGATTCAAACCCCCGTCTCCCATATGCTAAACCGGTGCCTTACCAGCTGAGCTATCCAGCCGCTTATACAGTATACACATACATATAAACACATTAGATTCCCAATGAGAAATAATTGAGGGGGCGAGCAGGGAGATCCTTGGGTGACGTGCAGCGAACTGAAACCGCTGCCTTTCCAGCAGCTCCTATATTTTGTTGTTCTACTTCTTCCATTCATAACTTTGCTGCTGTGAATTGGGAATTTCTCCATTGCGAGACTAATAACGGTTTTCTTATCTTATCTTATCTTTCGCTTGGTTTGGTTGGTAGCAGAATCAAGTGTCTCCTCTCCTCATTGGGTCTTTATTATGAATGTCTAATTGAAAACCCTGACATTTTCTGGTGCATTGGTCTGGAACGCAATACTCCCCATCTAGGGGCTGAGGGTTGACGTGTAGCCGGAGGAGAGTGGATGACACTTGGTGAGTGAGGAACTCATGAAGGTAAAGATGAGTTTTGGCGCGCGCCGGGTCAGACAGAGTGGTCTTTAAAGCTATTTTAAGCCCTGAGCCATACTAGTCCCTATCAGGCAGATAGACAGAGTCGAGTCTTTAAAACTGTTGTGGGCGGCGGTGTCCTGTACGTACTTAAACTCCACACTTATATAGAACGATACCTATGTTAAATATATTCAAATAAAACGTTGCTTAAAGAGTGAATGTGTAACTGTGTGAGGAAGCGGATGTTCGAATTTCCCGCCACCTTGGTGGTAGACGGTTGGAAATTACCTCAGTCGCTGACTCTCAAATTTGCAAAATGGGGATGCAAATCAGTAAAAAACATGTAAAGCCGCAGATGACAGGGGTCCTGATAAGAAATTAACGTGTCAGGATTCATCAAGAGCCAATGTCCTTCCAGTAT